TTGCCTCTAGTAAGCAAAGCTTACTCATGAAGCTTTCTAGTAAGCATTTAATAAATGCTTGTTAATTGATCAATTGATCTCAAATCTAACTTAAATCCTACCTGCTATAATTTTAAACTAATCCCTTTGCTCTTGGGTCAGTTCCACTAAATGGTGCTGCATTCATTGCTTTTTATACTTTTTTTGCATAAGTGAATACACACACGTAGTCTACAGGAGGTTGCAGCCCCAACTATATAGCCCATGGCTCCTCTTAAAGGGATGTTATCGGGAGAGTACAGGAGAAGGATTTGGGTTGTGTGTATATATAGATGTGTATGTAGGACAGCATGGAGAAAGAAGGAGATATATTTTTGGGAAAGACTAGGAATTTGGGATAGAGGGATGGAGATTTATGTTTGGAAGGTTTTCTGTAATTCTTAATACTTCCAGCTAAGAAGGTTACCTCATGGCTTTGTTGCTGTCAGCTGCTTGTAAATAGTCCAGGGAGACAGACAATAAATAGCCATAACTTAATTATCTGCCACTTCAAGATTTGTAGAAAATATAAATTATAACCAAAACACTTAGTTCATTTAAAAAAAACCCATTAAACTATTTAGCAATCTTTTTGACTATTCCTCTTCTGACTCTTCTTCCTTATGCTCCTTAAATATTGGTGTTTCATAACTTGGAATCACCTTTATGTACATGACTACCAAATCTATTCAAATTTTCACTAAAAGCTTGTCCCCATGACTTGTTGCCTGGAGAACACATCCAAAGTCTGATCTTATTTGAAAGGAGTCTAACCTTCCTTACCAGTACCCCAACCCCAGCCATAGGCCCCATAGGTGTTGTCTTTCCTTATTAGAATATAAGTTCCTTGGGGTAGAAGGAAGGATTGGAGGAGGAGGGCACAAGCATTCAGTTATCACTTATTATGTGCCAGACACTGTGCTAAGTATTACAAATATTATCTCATTTGAGCCTCACAACAACCCTGGGAGGTAGATGCTGTTATTATCCATTTTATAGATGTGGAAACTGAGGCAGACAGAAATTAAGTGACTTGCTAGTAAGGATCTGAGACAGAATTTGAAATCAGGTCTTTCTGACTCCAGGTCCAGTTCTGTATTCACTGCACCAAAGATACAGGGCTTGTCTTTCTTGTTTTTATTTGTATCCCAGTGCTTAGCAAATTGCTGAGAACATGTTGGTACTTTAAAAATGTTTTTTTCATTCATTCATTCATTCATTCATTCATTTATTCATTCAAATTATTTCCCTGGACCTGTCATTTGCTCTTCCCTCACTTTCCCACATGTTCATGTTCTTATCTTGTCTTATATTTTAAGCACTTCCAAAGGTCCTGTATCCTCAGCACATAACACATAATAAGCACTTAATGATTTTCTAAAATTGAATGGAATCATTAACACTAATTAATGAAATAAATGGATACTTTTAAACCATGAAAGCCATACTAATTGTATTCTCTATTTCAGGTCAGTTTCTTAAAAATGTTTTAAAAATCATACATCTGCCAGCTAGACAATATTATTCAAGTCAAGTCAAGGAGTATTTAATAAGTACCTGTTATATACCAGATATGTTCCTCCTCTCTAGGAATACAAACAAAGGCAAAAGCAGTCCCTGCTCTCCAAAAGTTGACAATCTAATGGGAGAGACAGCATGAAAACAACTATGTATGAAGTACAAATTTATTTTTTTAATTAATTAATTTATTTTTAGTTAACATTCACTTCTGTGACATTTTGAGTTCCAAATTTTCTCCCCATCTGTCCCTTCCCCTCACCCCAAGACAGTGTGCAGTCTGAAATAAGCTCTACATATGCATTCTTATTGAACCTATTTCCATATTGGTCATGTTATAAAGAAGAATTAGAACCAATGGGAGAAACCACAAGAAAGAAGAAACAAATAAAGAGGGAAAAAAAAAGAGATCAAATAATGTGCTTCAATCTGCATTCAGACTCCATAGTTCTTTTTTTGGATGTAGGCAGCATTTTCCATCATGAGTCCTTTAGAGTTGTCTTGGATCCTTGCATTGCTCAGAGGAGATGAGTCTGTCAAAGTTAGTCATCACACATTGTGGCTGTTATTGTGTACAATGTTCTCCTGGTTCTGATCACTTCACTCAGCATCAGTTCATTTAAGTCTTTCCAGGTTTTTCTGAAGTCTGCCTGCTCATCATGTCTTACAGTACAATAGTATTCCATTACATTCATATACCACAACTTGTTCAGCCATTCCCCAACTGATGGGCATCCCCTCAATTTCCAATTCTTTGCCACCACAAAAAGAGCTGCTCTGAATATTTTTGTACATGTGGGTCCTTTTCCCATTGGTATGATCACTTTGGGATGCAGACCTGTAAGTGGTATTGCTGGGTCAAAGGGTATACACATTTTTATAGCCATTTGGGCATAGTTCCAAATTGCTCTCCACAATGGTTCAATCAGTTCACAACTCCACCAACAATGCATTAGTGTTCCAATTTTCCCACATCTTCTCCAGCATTTAATATTTTCCTGTTTTGTCATGTTAGCCAATCTGATAGGTATGATGTGGTACCTCAGAGTTGTTTTGATTTGCAATTCTCTAACCAATAGTGATCTAGAGCATTTTTTCACATGACTATAAATGGCTTTAATTTCTTCATCTGAAAACTGCCTATTCATATCCTTTGACCATTTATCAATTGGAGAATGACTTGTATTCTTATAAATTTGACTCAGTTCTCTGTATATTTTAGAAATGAGGCCTTTGTTAGAAAATCTTGCCCCATTTTCTGCTTCCCTCCTAATCTTGGTTGCATTGGCTTTGTGCAAAAACTTTTCAGTTTAATGTAATCAAAATTATCTTATTTCACATATCATAATATTCTCTATCTCTTGTTTGGTCATAAATTTTTCTATTCTCCATAAATCTGACAGGTAAACTATTCTTTCTTCTTCCAGCTTTGTTTATAGTATCAGTCTTTATATCTAAATTGTGTACCCATTTTGAATTTATTTTGGTATATGGTGTAAGATGTTGGTCTATGCCTAGTTTCTGCCATAGTATTTTCTAGTTTTCCCAGCATGAAGTACAAATTTAAATAATGTGAACACTTCACAGGATTCATTATTTGAACTATTAGGGAGCTAGCTATGTGTACAAACAAAATATATACACAATATAAATTAGAGATAATATCAGAGTGGAGGGAGACCAGGAAAATATTCTTGAAAATGGTGGAATTTTAGCTGAAACTTGAAGGAAGCCAGGAGGCAGAGGTAGGGATAGAGAGCATTTCGGGCAGAAAGCACAGCCAATGAAAACACCCAGAGTCTGGAGCTCAGCTTATGCAAGAACGGTAAGAAGTCAGTATCACTGCATCCCAGAAGGACCCAGTTTAGGAAGGGCTTTAAAAACCAAACAGAAGATTTTACATTTCATCCAGGAAGTGATAGGGATTCACTGTAGTTTACTGAATACGGAGATGACATAGAACTCCACTTCAGGAAGACAGCTGAGTGTCGGATGAACTTGAGTGATGAGAGACCTGAGGCAGCTAGAACAGTCAGCAACACGCTGTTTTATTATACACGTGAGGTGTGGAAGATGTGAACTGTGGTGGCAGCAGTGTCAAAGGAGGGAAAGGGAAAGGCTTCACAAAGGTAGAATAGGCAGAACTTGGCAAAAGATTGAATATGAAGGAGGTTGGAGTTTGAGAGGGAGGAGTGGAAGATGATGTTGCAAGCCTGTGTGACTGGGAAATGGTGCTACCCCTGACAGCAATAGAAAAGGAGAAGGGTTTTAGGGGAAAGAGAATTCATTTCATTTTGGACATGTTGAGTTTAAGAGTTTGTTGTTCATTTTTTGTTTTTTGTTTTTAATCTATTGAAAGGAATATGGGACCAGAAATCAAGAAACCTGTATTCTGTTGGTGAACTTGGCAGGGTACTTTCTCATGACTTAGTTTCGTTCTCTACAAAATGAGTAGTCTGGACTAGATCCACAATGCAAACTCAGTAGATTTTAATATATCAGTAGCCAGTCAGTCAACAAGTATTTATGAAGCACTTCCTATTCTCTGGAAGATATACATTGCTTCAGGGATCTGTGATTGTGTTGATGTGGGTGTGCTACATTGGCAGAGCCTTCCAGAACCTTGCTTCCAGAGTGAAGCATCTGAGTTGGCCATTGTAGAGAAGCAGAACTTCAAATAAAAGTGCCACAAATTTGAGCTTACCTCAGATCACTATTCATCTTTCTTGCCAAAGTGAGACAGATCATGGAAAGTCAAATGTAATAAACTGTGTTTAACAGTATATTGGCTACCACCATAAAGCTGCCTATAAGTACAAATCAAGTACTTTGAGTTCCACATTTTCATGGTTTCTCATTCTTTAGGTCCAAGATCAAGTGGAGTGTCACACTTTGATGTTGAGTTGAGGTCTTTTTATGACTAGTAAAATGGCCCAAAAGGAGGAGAATAAACTGAATCTGTATTATCCCCAAATTTAATTGTCAATAGTGAAGTTAATATATGTAATATACATTAATGTGTTGCCATACCTTCTTTGAGACCAATCATACATAAATATTTGTACTTTTAACCTCAGTAACAATGGCTAACTAAAAGGTGGGGCCATGAAGACAATGATTTACTAAGATTGGGTGGGGGCTCTAGAAAGCACTAAACTTCAGTTTTACCATACTGTAAGTAGAGTTTGAGCACTCTAATTCTTACTTCACTAAATTCAGGCACGACCTTGGAGTCCAAGTCCGTAAAACACTAACAATTTGATAACAATAGCTTAGAACCCAAGACTTTGAGGGCAAATTTATCTTTATATTCAGCTCCTTTCCATTTCTGACATTCTATGCTTTTTCCGATGTTTTAGAGCAATTTAAAAAGCAGGGTTATGAAGGCAGTACAGCACATGAATTTGACGAATTTAATTTTAAAAGCCCCGCACTGTCTTCTTTCATCCCAGTAAACAACTCCATTTCCCGAATCAAACTCCAGGCGTATATTTTGTTTCCTCTTGATTTTTAATTAACATCTATGCCTTTTTTTTTTTAGGTTTGAAAGGGATTAGATTATGTGCCAATGCTAACCAAACAGAAGTACTACCGTGTGGATTACAGTCTGAGTTCCCCCTCTCTTTTTGGCAATTACGGTAGTGAACTGTGCCTTTAAAAAAAAAAAAGAAGGAAAGAAAGGAGAAAAAAAAAGCTACCCTACCATCTTCCCCAGGAAACCTTCTACCCCTGAGTGTTAAGGCTGAGAACCTCATGAGCTGCGAAGGTTACTAGCGCACAGATAAAGGGCCAGAGAAGTTGGTGCTTACTGTGCGAAGGCAGAATCCCGGACGCCTCAGTCACGATTCCATCCCAAGAAGTCGCATGCTTCCCGGCTCCCCAGGCTTAGGATGGACAAACCTCATGTGCCCGAAAGCAACTTAACCTCAGGTTGTCGGGGAAGTAGTGTATCGAGGCTTTTAAAAGGCATCAGAAAGGGTTTATTCCTCCCCTCCACTCCCCAAAGAAACGTCCCGAGACTGGAGGATAGCTTTGGGATCCTTTAGTCCGAGGAAAAGTCCTCATGACTACTCACGATAGTCATTTACTGTGGGTGTTGGGATAGATGACTTTTGAATCCCTCTGTACCCATGACATGCATGCACTTTTCTCCCAACAGGAAATTTTGGCGAGCAGACTGTGTTTCATAATTATGTCTTCTCTCTTTCCCAGCACGCTATTCTTTTCTTCAGCACGCTGTTATTCTTTTCTTTTTCCCTCTCCTCACTCCGCCTTCCAGCTTTTTTTTTAATTCTATTTTTTTTCTGTAATCCCTTCCGGACTCGTTCAGTAGTTGCTATTCCAGATTTGCTAGTGTGTAGCAAGCGATTTGGGTGTTAGGTTTTAGTTTTGTTTCTTTTTACTTTTTTGGTGAATTTCGAGGATATTCGGGTGTATGCAAATGAAATCATTTCCCTCGAGGTTTCTCTCATTGGGCCATTCTAGTTATTTACTAACCAATGCAGCTTGTTGGAAACATTCAGGGGAAAGGAGCTGCAACTATTTCTGCACTAGTGAGTGTCTCAATTACTGACCTTAGAAGTATTGGGACGTTCTTGCAGCTTTTACATTAAATTAAAAACTAGTTCTGAAAATAAAAGCTAAATTAAAAAGTACATCAGTATATTAACTAATTTGAATGTAATAGTCGTTAAGATAAAAGCTAAATTAAAATGTGGTGGTTGTTCAGTCCTTTCAGACTCTTCCTTACCCCCATTCGGGATTTTCTTGGCAAAAATTCTGGAGTGGTTTGCCATTTCCTTCTCCAGCTCATTTTACAAAAAGGGAACCTGAGGCAGAGTTAAGTGACTTGCTCAGTGTCAAACAGCTACTAGGCATCTGAGGCTGGATTTGAATTCAGGTCTTCCTGACTCCAAGGGTGGCACTCAATCCACTCACTTCAGGCTACCGAGCTGCCCTAATTAAAAGGTGCATAATAACTAGTTTGAATGTGATTGTCCTAAAAATAAAAGCTAAATTTAAAAGTATACACATGGCTAATATGGAAATATATATTGCATGATTTCATATGTATATCCAATATAATGTTGCTTGCCTTCTCAAGGAGTTGGAGAAAGAGAATTTGGAACTCAAATTTTTTTTTAAAAATGAATTAATTTTTTTAGTTGTAATTGGGAGGTAGTTAATAAAATAAAATATATGTTATAATAATGAATTAAAAGGACATGAGTATATTAATTAGTTTGAATGTGATATAACTTCCAGATTTTTAAGAATTTTTTTTTGTTAGAGCATACTATTCCTCCTGTAATCCTCCCACTGTCTGATTTTACTAATTTGCATATACCCTCATTTCCCTTAATACCTTTAAATGAGCTGTCACTCAATCCTGTGTGACAAATTAATATATTTTAGAATGTGAAACTGGTCAGAAAAGATTTGTAAATTCATCAAAGCAAAACCCAGAAATTCATTCCCCTGTTTTGGGCATTACTAGAGAATATATGGGGCAGCTGGATGGTACAATAGGCAGTGTTCCGGACCTGGGATCAGGAAGGTCTAAGTTCAAATCCAGGTTCTGACACTTACTAGCTGTTTGACCCTGGCAAGTCATTTAACCCTGCTTACCTCAGTTCCTTGTCTGTAAAATGAACAAAAGAAGGGAATAGCAAACAACTCTAGTGTCTTTGCCAAGAAATCCCCAAATGTGGTCAGGAAGAGCAGGATGCAACTGAACAACAACAAAAGTGTGTGTCTTATTTATAATGTTCCCTTTAAGCTAATTAGATGTTTTTATAAATTTCTAGTTTGAAATACTTATTGCCAAATATATAAAATGAAAACTGTATGTCTCTAAAATCACAGTAAAACAAGATGGAGATTGTGTACCTCAATTACAAAAGCTAATGAATTGTTTCTTTTTTAAAACTACTGTTAATGTTAATTTTCTTATAAAAATATATATTAAGAGTATAACATATCTATTCATATATATTTTTATAAAGTGTGTGTGTATATGTGTGTGTATGAGAGAGAGAGAAGCTAATGTGTAAATATTTTGGCTAGTAGTATCTAAATTTATGTAACCTCAGATTGTTTGTATTTAAGATGATGGCCAGCCAGAGGTTGTCAGAAAAGAATCTAGATATCTTTCAAGAGAACAGGTTTCTACATTAATATCTGCTGCTTCTATTAATTTGGGATCAATGATGTGCTATTCGATATTGGGACCATTTTTCCCTAATGAGGTAAGAGGTTTATTATATCTTTGCCCACCCCCCCCACATTGCCCTAAAGTACAGAGAGGTTAGTGTTGGACTTAATTGTCCTCTTAAGAAAAAAAGGCAAATGTAGTACTTTATGTTATACAGAAGGTCTAAATATGTGAGAACAAATATCAGTAAATAAACTCTTACCTTGGCAAAAAGATATTAAGCAGAGTCATGAGGCCACTTATCTCAAGCGACAGAGAGCTAATATTTCACTGGGATAGAGAACTCTTGGATAAGGGAAACTCCCTTTACCAGTCTATTCAGATGGGTACCTTCTTTGCAACTTAATATTCTTAGAGAGTTGTCTAGAGCATTGAAAGATATAATGACTTGTCCATGGTCACATGGCCAGAGTTTCTTAGAGGTAGAACTGAAATACTGGTCTACCTGACTCCGAGGCCAATATAAATTGTAAAAATGGTTAGCATTTATATAACACTTTAAGATTTGCAAAGTGCTTTATGTATATTATCTCACTTGATTTTCACAACAAGTCTAAGAGGTAGGTGTTACTATTATTCCCAGTTTACAGATGAGAAAATTGAGGCTGAGATGGGTTAAGTGACTTGCCCAGGGTCACACAGCTAGAAAGTGACTGAGGCTGTATACTAATTCAGGTCTTCCAAACTTCAAGTGCAGGGTGCTATCCCTTGTGCCATAAGTGCCTCTCATTTTGATATAAGTAAATCCTTTACCAAAAGAATATGAACAGTTCCTTGGAGTTTCCTGGCCTATGTAATTGATTTCTGCTGAGTGGAACTTTACTGGACATTCTGATTTTTCTTCTTTTGAGTTGTTGTTGTTTTTTTCTTGACAATAGAAAAAAATAACTGAAAATAACTTACTTAGCCTAGTGTTTATATCAGACTTTGGTTTGCTGACTCACCAGTTTCTATTTAGAAAGTTTGGAAGTCATTAATGTTTCTGAAATGAGTCTAATTTTTAATTTCTTTCAGCACAGTGCTAGGTGGCACAGTGCATAGAGTGTTGGACTTGACATCAAGAAAACCTGAGTTCAGATTTGACCACAGTCACTTACTAGTTATGTGATCCTAGGCAAGTTACTTAACCTCTGTTTGCCTCAGTTTTCATATTTATAAAATGAGTGTAATAATTGGCACCTACCTCCTAAGGTTTTTGGGAGACTAAAATGAGATCTTTGTAAAGTGCTTTGTAAACTTTAAAGTACTATGTAAGCACTAGCTATTACTACTACTACTACTACTACTACTACTACTACTACTACTACTACTACTACTACTACTACTACTGCTACTACCACTACTACTAAATAATTGCTCTTTAGTATTTTTTTCCCTAGCAACCTAACTCCTGGAGTATTGTAGAGTTAGAGCCTGGAGATGGTAGAACAAATATAAACATGATTATGTTTTCTTTTTGAGGAACTACTAGAGCTGTCTCATGGAATCCCGGGATCCCATGGATATACGTTTTTAATTCCTGCACTAATTCATACTCATTAGATTGCAAGAAAGTAAGGAAGGTTGCAGGTTTAATTGCCCTCTGTTCCATTTATTATCCCTTCTCCAAAACCATTCTGAGTCTAAGTTCTCAGCATGTTGTACCTAAAACTTAACCTGTTTTCTTCCTTGTGTTAATCTGATAGAAACAGTTGACAAAATTTCTTAATCACAAAATTTCTTAATTAATAGGTCAGATAACATGTACTTTGCATTCTGCAGGGAAAACAGTAGATACATATGTATGCAGATTAAAAAATATAAATATAAAAATACAAATCATTGAGAGGAATTATGAGAAGTACAGCAACTAGGCAGGCAAGAGGTGATAAGAGCTTTAACTTTTGTGGCGGAAGTGAAAAGGAGGGATTGAATACTGAGGTTGTTGGAAAAGGAGAATCAACAGGACCTGGCATCTGGCTAGATTTGGGAGCAGTGAAGGAATGAGGAAGTTATGAGGAAGGATCTGTTTTGGAAGGAAAATGATGGGTTAGTTTTAGGCACAATTTTTCAAATGCTGAAATAGGTTCAGAGAAATTGAGCAATTTTTCTGAGTTCATAAGAGTAGGAGCTAAGACTTGAACCTGTTCCATAATGCCTAAAAGCTCAGGGTTATTTTCACTGAATTAAAAGCCTCTTTACCAGAATTCAGCAGAATTTTATTTTTATATCCTGTTCTTTGCTAATATTTTTAAGGCTTTTATTAAAATAATGTTCAACAGTAACTGACTTGGAGCAGAGAGGTTTGCATTAGCTATAAGGTGACCTGGGGACAGGGGGTTAGATTCTGCTTGCATGACAGCTACAGGCATCTGAGCCATAGTTATGTTATAAGTACTGTGTAGGGCTGAAGCTCAAGAACAGACATTAGAGACCAGAATTGGGAAAGTGTTGAGTAATTGGTTGAAGGTGGTTATGGAATTATGTTGAAGGTGGACCTGTGATTGGCTATCCTCCCCACTTTCTGGCTGGTTGCTCACATACCCCTTAAGATCAAGCCACAGACCCCCAAAGTATCACCTGCTTGCCTTACATTTAAAAGTTATTTCACTATAATTATCTACAGGTTGAGATGACAATTTATCAAGTTGCAAGTAAGAAAAAACAACATGGTCAGTTGTACTAAGGTTGATTTATAAGATTAAGATGTAGAATTTTAGGACAAAGAAGTACTTTTTTATGTAGCAGATAGTATCTTTATGAAATTAGTTATATCAAAAGGTGGGACAGACTGAAAATAGTTTTGATAATTTGTTTTTATGTGATTCTTAGATAACATCCATTGTCGTTCAGTTGTTTTTCAGTCGTATCCAACTCTTCAGAGCCCCATTTGGGGTTTTCTTGGCAGAGTAGTGGAGTGGTTTACCATTTCTTTCTCCAGCTCGTTTGACAGATGAGGAAATGGGCAAAAAGGGTAGAGTGACTTGCTGGGGGCTGCCTAGCTACTAAGTGTCTGAAGCCAGATTTGAACTTGAACTTGTGATTTTAAATATCTTAAGGAGATAGAATTTGAATCCAGCTTCTCTGATTCCTAATCCAGTGCTCTTTTCACTAGAATTTGGAAGAGTAAGACTATTATTCTAAAGATTTTATTTTGCCTTGGTTATACTAATTTTTTGTTTTTCCTTTAAAGGCTGAAAAAAAAAATGTCAGCAATACAGTTATTGGAATGATCTTTGGATGTTATGCTGTGTTCAACTTGCTGTCATCCTTGTTGTTTGGGAAATACGTAAGTGTCTTTAGAGTTGTAAATTGTAGTTGCATGATGATCTTTGATTTATCATATTTTCTTAATGATCTGCCCTTCATTCTACTTAATGTAAAAGTGATCAGTGCTGTATATTGGGTAGAAGAAATATCATGAATTATTTGTATATTTACACTCTTGTTCTCAGAAGCAGTGGTTTAAGTAAAGGATTTTTTTGTCTCAACTACACCTAATAAATAAATTTGTAGGTATTTCCTAAGTATAATAATAGCACACATTTATATAGTGATATATGGTTATAATGTTATTTTACATTTTGTTTAATTTGATCACAGCAAAAGAGTTTGGTAAGTAATTTATGTATTATTATTATTCCCATTTGACAGATGAGGAAACTGATGCTTAGACAAGTTAAGTAACTTGTCTAAGGTTGCATAGTAAATAATTGGAAAAGCTAGAACTTGAAATATATATTGGTGGAAGAAATACCAACTCACTGAGGGTGGGGAGAAGGTCTGAATTGTTGTGGAGAGTTTCCTCACCTTGTAGTTCCCTGTACCAGTGAAACCCCAAGTCCACTCACATTCCTCTAATACTGTTAGAATAGGGCTTTGCTGAGTATTACCAGATCGCCTAAGATGGAGGCACCCATGTGGAAGATGGCAGGTCTCTTGGTTTCCTTCATCTTAGGTAATCCTGGCATACTCAGCAAAGCCTCATTATACACTGTATGTCTCTAATCAATCAATGAGCATTTTTTATGTATTATGTTGCATGTTGTCTCTTTTCTTAGACTGAGTTTCTTGAGAGTAGGGGCTGTTTTTTGCCTATCTTTGTATTCACAGCCATTAGCACAGTGTCCAGCACATTGTTACTGTTCAGTCCAACTCTTTATAACCACGTGAACTGGTTTTTGTTTGTTTTTTTTCATTTGAGGTTTTCTTGGCAAAGATACTGGAGTGGTTTGCCATTTCCTTCTTCAGTGGATCCCCTTTTTTTGTGAGAGCTCTCCACTATGACCTGTCCTTCTTGGATAACCCTGCATAGCATAGCTCATAATTTCATTGAGCTATGCAAGGCAGTGATCCAAGAAGGGATGTTTAGGCAAATACGGGGTGACTGACTTGCTCAGGGTCACACAGTTAGTAGGTGTCTGAGGCTGGATTTTAACTTGGGTCTTCCTGTCTCCAGGACCAGCACTCTATCCACTTTACCTAGCTGGCACCTAGTAGATATGTAATAAGTGTTTATTGACTGCCTAACTGACTGACTTTGTGCCAGGGACTATACTAAGTGCTGGAGATACAAAGATAATAGTGGAGAAATATCCCTTCCATAAAGGAGCAAGTGATACCTATACAGGGGGTCCCAAACATTGCAATTTTAAACTTTAACAGTTTCAAGCTTCACTAAGACTTTTGGGACAACCTGTATAAGTACACACATAATATATACAAAATGAATACAAAGTAGTCAGTCTATAAACAAGCTTTTAGACTTCCAGTCCCCAGCATGAGACTTAAAGAGAGCTAGAGAAGCCAGGAGCTGTTGAGAAGGAGGGAGAAAGCCCAAAAATGGTGGATAGCCAGTAAAAATGCTGAGTCAGGAGTTGGAGTGTTATGTGTAGGGAACACCGAGGAGACCAGTGTCACTGGATCACAGAATACATGGAGGGGAGTAAGGTGCAATAAGATTGGAAAGGTAGGCAGCAACCAAGTTATGAAGGACTCAAACAGAGGGTTTTATATTTGGTCCTGGAGGTGATAAGAAGCCACTGGATTTTATTGTTTGGGAGAAGGGGTGGAAACATGATATAGTTGGACCTCTGCTTTAGGATGATCAATTTGATCACTAAGTGGAGGATGGACCGGAGCAGGGAGCCCAAGCAGCAAGCTGTTGAAATAGTCCAGGTATAAGGTGAAGAGGGCCTGCACCAGGACAGTGACAGTGTCAGGCCACTAGTTTTGGGAGGGAAGGCAGCTGACAGTATCAAGAAAGACTTCTTGTAGAAGGTGGTGCTTGAGTTAAGTCTTGAAGGAAAGTAGCGATTCCAAGAAGCAAGCATGAGAAGGGACTGTACCCAAAACAAGAAGGGATACAATGAATCAGTTAAATTTAATTATTATTTTAAAATAATTAGCATAAAAGTTTGAAGATCTCTTATCCTGACTTGATATATAATAACAAGCCAAAAGATGCAAAACAGACAGCTATTTTCATGTTTCCGTCTAATAGGAGATAGAGTGCCACATCTGTCTCTTTCAGTTTCTTCATCTGTGAAATGAGGATAATAACAGCACCCATCTCCTAGGATTGTAAGAATAACATGAGAAATTTTTTAATGCGTCTTGCAAGCATTAAAGCACTATATAAATGCTAGATATTATATGACACAATCTTCCCCATAACTCTGTAAATTCATTCATTCAGCATTTATTATATACTTAATATGTGAAATGCAATGTACCAGATACATGAGAGATACAAGGATAATTCCCCTGAGTCTCTTAGTACAGTATTAGATATAATGGATACTCAGCTTTATTAACATAAATGTAGAATTGGAGTAATTAACTCATTACTGTTTTTTAACCATTTATAGCTTGTATACATTGGAACAAAGTTCATGTTTGTGGGAGGCATGTTTGTCTCAGGAGGAACTACAATTCTCTTTGGGTAAGTGTCTGGCTTTCTGTGCTTGGGGATTGGGTTAGACATCAACTTCAAAATCTGTATTCATTTTGAAATTTGTGTGAGTGCATTTAAATAAATAAAAACTTATTTCAGTTTCTTTCTGTATGACTGGCATTATGTTAGGTACTGGTAAGAGAGGTGGCAAGAGGGTAAAAATGAAGGGTTTCTTTTTCATCCTCAAGATATGGAAACTGATGCCCAGACAGGTTAAATGACTTGTCTAAAGTAATACAATAAATAAATGGAAAAGCTAGAACTGAAAATATGTATTATCCACAAGAATATCACAGTTCATCGAGGGCTAAGCCATAAGTGATATACAATAAACAACTGTGGAGTCTTTTACTAACAAGCATGAGCAAATTAATATAGAGAAACATATATGTGTTGAGGGAGCATAATTATATAGTCATCTGATTAAAATGAGGTAAAGATGTAAAAATCAGATACCAGGTACCCCTGAAAAGTTTCAGTGTTTTGCATCTAGTTTATTTTTGGCAGCCATCATTCAAAGGCAGAGTGGAGAGTCATTAGTCTGAAAAGCAAACCTCTAGAACCATGGTTTTCCCTCATTTTTCGTTCATATGCCCCCATTGTGCTGTCTCTTTAGTACCAAATATGCTCAATCAGTGGGCAGCTAGGTGGTGCAGTGGGTAGAGTACCAGGCCTGTTGTCAAGAAAACTCATCTTTCTGAGGTCTAATCTGGCCTCAGACACTTACTAGCTGTGTGACTCTGGGCAATTCACTGAGCCCTGTTTGCCTCAGTTGTCTTATCTGAAATGAGTTGGAGAAGGAGTTGGCAAACTGCTCCAGTATCTTTGCCAAGAAACCCCAAATGGGGCCATGAAAAGTTGGACACAACTGAAAACGACTGAACAACAGCAACAGCAAAATGCTCATTCGGCAAGGTGGGGCACCCAACTGCTCTGAGTTTAGTTTTCAGTAACTCTTGAGATAAGGTAGCATTCCCCTTTTAACCTCTTTGAGTACTTTCTCGCTTGTAACTTGACTGAAAGAAACAGGTAAGACCATGAGTAACTGGTTATGGATCTACAGCCAACCCAAAATTTACCACCTGCAACTAGCAACAACATTTGGTTCCCCTTTAGGTAAAATTTAAGTGCCAGCTCTGTTTCTTAGATGTCTTAGAAACCCCTAGTCTGAATATCTCCCAGGAGTAAAATTAAGCATAAAGCTGAGTTGGCCTGGTGCCCTTTAGTATTGTGTGCCCAGGATTCATCATGCTGGAGTGACCACAGAAGAGAACCCAGGCCTGCTTCTGTTCTCAACATAACACATCACTAGCCAAACTGAAGCATAATTTTTGCTTTATTTTTCTTGCTTTTTTTTCAATATGGATAATATGGAAATGTGTTTTGATTTCACATGTATAATTGATATCCTATCATAGTTCTTGTCCTCTCAATGGGTTGGGGAGGGACAAGGGGGAGAGAGAGAATTTGGAACTCAGAATTTAAAAAAAATGTAGAAAATAAGTAATAAACATTTAAAGATAATGAAATAAAAAAAAACCATATCACTACCATAGTTAGAATTAGAATACAGAGAGTCCAGGCAAGAAAAAACAGAATCCAGCTTGGATGCAAAAGATTATTATCTTGGGTGACACAAAGATCCAAAAGCTTTCTAGTCAAACTGTCTATTTCCTATTTCACCTCTGCTGCAATGAAAGCTAAACTCTTAGGAAAGTAGTGGGAGATGTATTTAAAAACCCACACATAACATTATTACTTACTTGATGTTCACTCTATTTTCTTGCCTTTTGAAAATCAGTTTAGGCAATGAGAGGAACTGGAAGAGAGTAGAAGAAATGTCGCTATGCTGAGCTCTGGGATTCTTATTAGATCAGTAATAGTAGCTGGTTCTAGTTTTACAAAGTCCACTCCTAGGGGACCCATCAAGCTTCGATTACCATCAAGGTACCCATTAACCTGTTAGAGTTTTAATGTAGTGTAGACCCTAATGAGTAACAGCAAGCCTACTCTAAAAGATATCACAGGTCCTTCCTCCTTACCTTAGGCCAACCAGTGCCAGGGACCTGAGGGCAGTTCAAAGTTATGAAAGTTAAAAGTCTAAACCGAGGGACCTGTAGCCATTCTGAGTGATTCTGTCCAAGCTGTTCCATCTTTAGGGTGGTACTAAAGGGTTTCAAATCACTCTGAAGATGCTAAGTTTGCACCCTCATTTATCAATACCTCATATGTGCCAGGCACTGTGGAACTGTGCATTCTCTGAACACTGTCTTAAGAGCTGGGGAAAAAAGAAGAAACTGAGTCACCCCAGGACAAATCAGATTCTTAAAAATCAGTATTCTTCCTTTCTGTGAGTGTGACCTAAAACAAAATTTTTAATGCCTGTCCCCCAGTGCTTGAAGAAATTGAATGTGTGCTCTGTTAATCAAACTGTTATGCTGATCTATTGATTGGGGAGGAAACAGTATATTTGAGAATTGTCCTTATTCTTTTATAGTATGTTGGACCGAGCTCCTGATGGACCAGTATTTATTACTATGTGTTTTCTACTGAGAGCGGTAGATGCAATGAGCTTTGCTGCATCAATAACTGCATCGTCTTCTATTGTTGCAAAAGCTTTTCCAAATAACGTAGCTACAGTGATGGTATGTGGTTAAGTGCTTGCCCAATCTTTGTTGGTCCCTGAGTTTTTCACACATCAAAAGAGGCAATGGGCCCTTCTTCCCATACATATTAATATTTTTTTTTCTTCTCCTGATATTTTTGCTATACTAGGTCCTTGAGAAGTAGGTTAGAAAATAAGAGCCTTACAGTAAGAAAGACCTGGGTTGACTCTGAAAACATACCAATTGGGTGACCCTGAACTTAGCCTCTCAGTGCCCTAGGTAGCCCTTTAAGACTGTAATTTGCCAAACAGTTGAACATTTTCCTTTGTAGAAAGGGTTTTCTCACCAGTTTTTATCCCAATGTGGATGAAATCACAGGTCTGTATCAGAAATATATTGCATTTCTATCTTATATTTCAGGGCCACCAAATTATCATTAATGACTCTTTGGAGTTGATTAGGAAGGTGTAACTCATTTTCCACAGTCTTCTGAAGTTAGAAGTATATAAGTACATGAGGTAAAAGCCAAATTGTTCCCTTCACCTCTAATTTTCTTTGATACAACATTTTTTTTTTCTGGCTAGGTAGAAGTATGAATGTAGCTACTACCAGCAAATTTGCCTGTAGCACAGCATAAAATGTTGGGTCCTAATCTTCCACTTTGAAATATTCAGAGGTCCTTAGATAATACTTCTTTTTCTTTTTCTTTTTTTTTTGGGGGGGGGCAGTGGTGTTTAAGTGACTTGCCCAGGGTCACACAACTAGTAAGTGTTATGTGTCTGAGGCCGGATTTGACTTCAGGTCCTCCTGAATCCAGGGCCAGTGCTCTATCCACTGCTCCACCTAGCTGCCCCCCTCTTAGGTACTTCTTTTGGCCTCCTTGTATGGGAAAAGACAACCTTTTGGGCCTTCCTACTGCCATGGAAATCTCCAAGATTGTGTAATGCATGGATGTAAAACAACTGTATGGATGGTTCTGTCACATACCACTCTAACTTCTAGATTCTGTACTGCTGCTCATTTCTTACAAATAAGCTTACACTTCACTCTTAAGTGCCCTCTTATCTCCTTGATGAAGCACCTTATGAGTGGCAGGGAATTTTTTTGGTAGGTGCTTGACACCTATACCTGTTATTACCAAAAGGTACCTTATCAGCAAAATAACTGCCTCTAGCTTAAACTCCAAGGGAACTAGCTTGACTTTGATGAGGGGAAATGGCTTTATAAAGTTTACTTCTGGGTGGTCTTTAAGTACTTAACAGTTTTAATGCTGCTAATGAAACACATTGACTTGGTTTTTCTTTGTTTTCTTACTTTTAGGGAAGCCTTGAAACCTTTTCTGGGCTGGGCCTAGTTTTGGGACCTCCTCTAGGTGGTTTTTTATACCAAACCTTTGGCTATGAAGTGCCCTTTATTTTTCTTGGGTGCTTAGTTCTGCTGATGGTGCCACTCAACATGTATATTTTACCTACTTATGGTAAGACTACATTTCTTATTCGTGTTTGGTGTTTGACCAGATAGAAGAGACTCGTGACTATATATCCCCTCCCCAAAATGGTGATGAACATGTGATTTATGTTAAGCTATGTCTCTTTATGAATTATAAATTCCCCACTTTTCCTCTTTAGAAGATAAAAGTATTATTATAGGATTATAGCTTTATTACCAAAAGGGATCATCTAGTCTAGGAGTTTTTAACCTGGGACCCATGAACTTGATTTTCTTATATTTTGTAACTGTATGACATGAGGTTGATTTTTTAATATTTTGATAACTGTATCTCAAAATTATTGATTTCCTTTGTGATCCTATATTTTTTTTTATTCATTTAAAAACATTATTCTGAGAAATGGTTCATAGGTTTCACCACACTACCAAAGCAGTCCATAACCCAAAAGAAGTTTAAAAATATTGATGTAGTATAACCCCTTACATCTAGTATAGGCCCCTTTACAGATGAGAAAAGTGAGATGGATAGAAGTTTAAATGATTTGCTTAAGCTGATAAAGTAGTAAGTGGCAGAGATGGGATATTCTATTTTTAAAAAGTAATAAATTTGTTTTGGCAATGTATAAGTATACGTATAAGTATATATATATATAAGTATGTATACAAAGTATACATACTATATATGTATAAATATATGTATAAGTATGTATACATAATATAAAAGCAAAGGGAATTCCAAATGACAACCCACAAGACCAAGAAAATCTCACCATATAGCAAGACATAGTTCTGAAAACTGTGTGTTGTTAGGTGTGAGACTAGGTATAAGTAAACTTGTAAAGAAAGCAAAGCTTATCTTTAGCATCTGCTTAGAGATCATTCTTTTCATAGTGGCCATCCTTCCCCACTTGGCACTTTATGCCACCTCAATTCAAAATTCCTTTCCCTGCTCTTTCCCTTCTTTATATTCCAGAGCTACCATTTCCCATTTCTCCACACTGTACTTTCTCTCCCAATTAAGTTGCAGACACCAGTGCTGACTTGCATTTCAGAAGGAGTTTCCTCTTCCCAAAATTCTATATATCAACTAAATTCCTCTCCCTTCTTAGTACTGGATATGGGAAAATTGCTGGTTTTATTTTATTTATTTCATTTTTAATCCCTTGATTAAAAATAAACATCTAGTAATATTCCAAATGTTTCCTGAACTAGGCCTATGATTTCCTTGGTAGTCAACTCCTAAGTGAGGAAACTCTTTATCAGTGAGGTTGTACCTTCTTTTCCTTTATAGACTTTCAGGGGAGCCTTTTCCGTTTTTGCTTTTATGTAGTTATTTGATTCCTCCTTTTGTTTTTTTTTTTCAGTCAAGAAGTGGTCAAGTAGAGTATCCCTTCCTCTCCTTTGTTTCAACTTGTTTTGTTCATGACTTTTAAAAATTTTCAGCACTTTTTTTTCTAAAAAATATTTTCCCCCTTAATTCTCTTCATTATCCATCTTCTTTTTCTGTATATTCTAGATTTTTATTCTTTGATTGATGACCCTTATACTTATTTAGGCCCTTTTAGTCTCTCTATTTCTCATGAAATTAAAGCTTCCAGGGTATACCTATTTGAAATTTCATCAAAACAATTACTCTGTTATTGTCTGGTAGATCTTGCCTGCTGACCTTCTCTGTTATTCCTCACTCTTAGAAATACCACTTTCCCATAGGTGATAGAGAGAATGTTATCCATGATAAGATTTTCCTATGTCCTTGATTGTGCAATTTCTTATTGACCTTTACCATACCTTTGGTAATTTTTTCCCCCCATTTGCCTCGAAATCACTTCCCTGGGTCTATGCCCTTCCTCTGTTCTAGGTGTCTCTAGTCCCCAGGAGCTCTGATTGCCTGAGGCAGAATGAATGGTCTCTGTAAGCACCAAATCCCTGCAGATCTTACCTATTGTAAAGTGCACATTTCTCTTTATAGATCATTTCTTTTCTCCAGTAGGAGCATTCATCAGTAGTTTTCCTCTACCACCACTGAAATAATATTTCTTCTTTCTTATTCCCTTTTTCAGTCTCTTCCTTTGCCCCATCTTTCATCCTTTGGAAGGCTATCTTTTTCCTGAGAGACTACAGGATATTTCCCTTTCATTGTTAGCCTTTAACTTGATTAGGGTATGTCATATATTCCCCTCTGTCTTCTTCCTCCCCCACCCCCTTTTGTGTGCCCTCCTATTCTATAACTCAGCTCTGCAAAAAAAAAAAATTATCCACTTGTAGGCGGAGTGCTATGAGACTTACTCCATGATGTTTCAGGACTATTTCTCCACCATCACTTCTGTTTGATTTCTGCTCTTATCCTTGTTGTTGTCACCTCACATAAATTTAGAAAGAAATCTCTCAATGGTCTCCCTCTTTGTTATGTTGTTGTCCTCGGTTACTGTATTTATTTACCCTTCTTGTATTTCCATTGTCTAGGGTATTTGAGAAGCAAATAATTTCTCTAGATCTGATTTTCTTTCTAGGAATGTTTCAAACACCTCTTTTTTAATTGAACATTTACCTTTTTTTATTAATAGGTTCATATTTGCAGGGTAAATTTGGGCTGCATCTTGAGCTTCTTTACTCTGGAATATGTTTTTCCATGTCCTCCTGTGGTTCTGGCTGATGCAGAATAGTCTTATGTTATTTGAATTTTTTTTTCTTTTGTATTCAAAAGTGTTTCTCATAGTCATTTCCCATTTTGTTGTATCTCAGATACAACCAGGTGTCTCAGAGTTTGCAGCATAGTTTTGTTGTTGTTGTTTTTCCTAGCGGTAATCGGAGGATTTTTTTGATTGACAGTTTGTTTGCAATGTTCAAAAATTCTTGGCAGTGTTCTTGTATTATTTCTTGCAGTGTAGCGTTCAGGTTTTTTGACTGATGTTCTCCTGGGAACCCTGTCATCTCTAATTTGTCTCTATGCAGCTTTTCAATATATTTTGCTTGTATGGAGGTAGTGATTTCTTTTAATGTTATTGCATTGTGCTTTTTTTCTTCCAGACTGCCTTTTGCTTCTGTGTATTTGCATTCCCAGTCAGTTATCCTCTTTTGTTTCTTTGGTAAGGCCACTGTGAATTCAGATTTTCCTATTTTGGCAATTATTTTTGCTATTCAGGACATGGATTATGCTTTCACAATTCTTATTTCTCTTTTAAACCATTTAGAAATATCCTGCTATAGTTGCATGCTCTCTTGGGCTCTTTGGCTTCGTTAGGCATTGATTCCTTTTTTTTGCCTTGCAATATTTATTTATAGGTGCTAAGTTCTTTTATTTGGCCTGGAGGCCATATTTCCTTCTGCTATTACTGTCTTCCCTGTTGGTTTATCTACTTGTGCTCAATGTTTCTAATTTATTTTTTTTTTCCTTCTGAGATCTTTGCTAATTTCAGGGGTTTTTTTCCCCTTTATTTTCTTCTTTTGCATACTTTTTGACTCCCTCCTGTTTAATGGTAGTTTCTCTCGGGTTTTGGATCTCAGAGTGTCTCAGCCTCTTCTTAGACAGGGTATTTTACCATTTACCACCCTAGGTCTGTGCCTCAAGTGACTTCCTGGGGAATAGAACTGACCCCAGATGGATACTGTGCTCTTTCCCTTAGGATTAATGGAATGCCACACAACCACACAACCACACATACATCCTGCCTCAATTCCCCTTGCCCTCTGGCTGATCACTGTTTTGGCAAAACTAATTTCTTCTGTTTGCATCTCTGTGGCACTGGGGGATAGAGGAATGGGTCAGGGTATAAAGTTGAGTTCTGTTGCAAACAAGTGGGTCAGCATATACAATCATGCTTCCTGGAGGATTTTAGGAGGTAGGTGGGGGTCTGCCGAGTGACTTTATAAGGAGTCAGGGATTCTTCTCTGTTGGCATTTCAACAGATTATTATCTTGTTTGGATTTTTCGTGTCCTAGACTATGGAGACAACTGAAATTGCATTATCTCTAGGGCATGATTCCTATTTTGGAGAGGTTTAAGACATCATGAGGGTCAGAACACATCTAGGCCTCTATCTTGTTGGTCACTTCCTGCATCGTACTTATGACAAAGCTACTTAGGTCTTTGTTAGCTTCTTGAGGGCAGGGATGATTATGTAGTATGTATTTAATAAAAGGTTTTTTAACTTATTTGTAGATTGGGTAATTAATGATATATTAACGGATTTATGCCCTCATTGATGTCAGATTATAACCCATCCACTTCTTTTCAGTCTGTGTGAAAACCCTCACAAACTAACAACAGAGAATCCCTAACCCCAAAGGAATTCCCCTTAACCCCCGACTCTTACCTTACAGAGCCCTCTAGGAAGTTATAGGGTGAGGGTCATCTCAGTGTGCTGGAGTCCTTCCCCAGAAAGTCTTGACACAGCATATATACCAGTGGAGCACATGGGCTTTTCATATGTTATCCTTCACACTTGCTACATGATTGGCCAGCTCCTTTTCCTTTTCCATTCATGTGTCTGTGCTGTCTTTTACGTGGATTCTCCTGTGCAATTATTCATTGGTAATATACTAAAAATACTACAAAGATAACTCCTTTCTATAGGCCTTTCCCCACAACTTCATAAGGTATGTGGTGGAAGCGGTATTATCTCCATTTTTCAAATGATGAAACAGGTTCAGAGAAATTAAGTAATTTTTCTAAGTTCATAAGGGTAGGAGCTAAGACTTGAACCTGTCCCATATGCCTAAAAATGCTGTTATTTTCACTGAATTAAATGCCTCTCTACCTGAATCCAGCAGAACTTTATTTTTATATCCTGTGCTTTGCTAATATTTTTAAGGCTTTTATTAAAATAATGGTCCCTGCTAATTCTACATCTATAATCTACATCTACATCCATAATCCTATAAACCAATCTTAGTAAAATTGATGGTGTTGTTTTTTCTTACTTACAACTTGATAAGTTGTTATTTCAACCTGTAAATAATTATAGTGAAATAACTTTTAAATGTGAGGCAACCTAGTGACACTGGGGGTCTGTGGCATGATCTTAAGGG